GCACGGCTGCGGAGCCGCCTTGCGGCGGCGGCGGCGCCGCCGCCTCTGCGGCCCCGCCCACGGCCCGGCTTCCGGCCGCTGCCGCGCCCGCCTGCCTGCGCGGCTGCCCTGCCACGTCCAGGTCGGATGCCACCACCCCTTCCTCCTCCTCCTCCTCCTCGTCTCCGAGCCGATGCAGGCCCCCCGGCTGAAGGGGCCTTCAGGACCTCACCCACCACTTCGACGTCGCTGCCGTTGCTGCTGTCATCACTCCCCGTAGACTCCGCATCCGTGCCCTCAGTATCCCCGCCAGCGCTGGCGTCCCCAGCCGGCGCTGTGCTGGTGGCGGCACGCCTCGCCGCCAGCTCTGCTGTTCGTGTCGATTGCCGCTGGGGGGCCTGCCGCGACGCCGGCGACTCCTCCTCCTCTACCTCCGCCTCCTCCTCGCCGTCGCCGCTGCTGCTGTTGTCAATGGCATCATCCTCGCCGCCTTCTTCGGAGTTCTGCAGTGGAAGGGGTGATCATTACGGTCGATTTCAAAAGGGCAAAAAGAAAGAAAGCACCGGGTAAATTTTACAGGGTAGTGCCAGGTTATCGGGTTCTTCATTACGCGCCCCGTACTTGTTTTCTCTGGAGAGGACACGCCACCTCCATCCCAACCCTCCACCCCCTTGCACCCAATATCATGATCCGCAATAGCCCTGATGGACGTCATGGCACCTCTCCCGCTATCACTGCCTTTCCTCCTCCTCCTCCTGCTCCTGCTTCTACGCCTCCTACCTCACTACTGGGCTCATAATCCCCGTCCTGCAGTCGCCGACCAGCAGCTCGCCCCCGGCGAGGGCCAGTTCCCTCCGCCACCTCAGCATCACTGACATCGGACAACTCGCCGTCGCCGTCGCCGTCGCTCCCGCTGCCGGCCGCTTCCGCCGCGGGTGCTGCTCGTGCTCGGGGTTGTCCCGCTGCGGCGGAAGGTCCGAAAAGATCGCCAGCTGCGGTCAAGGACTGGTGCTGGCCTTTGGCGGCGGCCGCGGCTCTGACGGCGACGTCGGGGGATGGTGGAGATCCACTTGGCTCAGATGCAGCAGATCGATAGTCGTCGTCCTCACTCCCCTGGCGGCGTCGAGCGGCCTCCGCGGCCTCCGCCTCCGCCCCCCCCACGTCCACCATCTCGACGTCGGCGGCGCCTACGCCGCCTTTGGCTGCGCCGACCAAGCCCTGGCGCGCAATTCCCGCCCCCTGCAGCCGCCCGCCAGCACCATCCCCTTCTGCCATCCCCTTGCCGCTATCATGGCGCTTACGACGCTGGGCCGTGCGCTGCGTCCCTTGCCCGTCAGCCAAGTCCACGACACCATCGCCTTCGCCTTCGCCGGGGTTGATGCTACGGTGGCGCTTTACACCGACGCGCCTTTGCCCCACGGCCTCAGCCCCGCCATCTTCCACAGCTTTATCCTGATCGTCATCATGCACCACCTCCAGCTCCACCTCCGCATCCGCCTTCGCCGCACCTGGAACGCTTTCCCCCTGCTGCTGGGCCAGGCCTCTCGCCGCCGCCGTCGACAGCCGAGCCGCTTTGCGAATCTGCGCCGCCCCTGCTGCTGCCGCCGCATCGGAGGCGGCGGCCGTCTCCGGCAGCTGCTGATCCCGCTCGCCTGTCGAGTCGCGCGGGCGCTTGGCATCGGGTCGGCTGCCACCCTTGCCGCCGTCGCCGGCAGCGACTGCATTGGCGCTGTCCCGTCTCGCCGCCGCCGCCGTCGCCTCCACCACCCCCGTTCCCTCCCCCACCTCACCGTCCTCGACGTATTCAGCGGAGCTCAGCGTCGTCCCACTCGTGTCGTCCACGCGACAGAGAACTTCACCCGTAACCACCACATCGCCAATGTCGTCATCAACGCCATCGTCGTCGTCGTCTGGATCGGACGCCGCACCGTCCAGCTCCTTCTTCACGAGTGAATGTGGAGGTTGACCCGTCGCAGCGTCGTGTGGGACCTGCTGCCCCTGAGAGGGGCCGCCCCGGGGCCCCGGGGGCCCGGCCCCAAAGAGACATGCAGCGCCACCCGCGGTGGCCCCCCGGGCTTTGCCACCCGCGGCGTTGGCGTTGGTGGCGCTGAACATCGCCTGGCAGTATCTGCGTGGAGCGGGTGGCGGGTGGTGTCCCAGACGAGGACCGCCGTCAGGCAGCGAAGCACGTGTACATGCCGCCCCGGGGATTATAGCAATGATGGTGGTGGTGGCGGTCGTGATGGCGGCGGCGCTAACAACGAGGACAAGCGGTGGCAAGGGGGAGAGAAAGAGAGAAAGAGGGGGAGGTGAAAGGGGGCGCAAAGGCAACACCCACTCACCTCGCCTTCTCGCCGTCCAAGGCACCATCCCTCTGGCCCACACACCTTTCCCCGCGCAACGCCTCCAGCCCCTTGCTTACAGCCCCTCCCACCCAGCTGCGCATAGCAGCCCACTTCGCTACCCTCCCCTCCCCCTCCCCCCACCCAGATCTCCCCATCACCACCACGACCCACATCCCCCCTCCCACCTGCACCTCCAGTTGTCATCCAGGTCCTCCGGATCGACACCCCCCAGGCAGGAACAGCAGTACGAATCCACACAGCTGCTCAAGGAAAGGGGGAAGAGGGGAAGGGGGAGGGGGCCCCAGGCAGGGGTCAGGAAGGTTCGGAATCTGGGACAAGTGCTATCGAGTTTGTTCAATGATCGTAAAAACCCCCTGGCCGGAATCAGCTGCAGGTAAGAGGCAGGGGTTGGCCCGGCGGGGGTTAGCACTTAGCAGGGGACATACACACACAAAGAGACACGCGAAGGCTCCGTTCCTTAACCCGCATACATGACACAGACGCACGTACCACATACACATACACACAGGGACAGCCGCGATCGCTACTTCTCAGCGCCCCCCATCCCGGTGTGCCGCATTCCTGACCCTTCTGGTGGGAAAACAGGCCCTTCTTACCCCGCCCCACCTCCAACCTCCCCACCACATGGCAAATCGCAACGTCCCCCCTCCAGCACCACTCACGAGTCGCAAGCCACCACCATCTGGCCCACAACGCCGCACTGCACACAGAAGCCAACATTGGCGTCCACATCATCCAGCCGTAGGGCCTCCAACACCTGACAGAGTGACATACACACAGGAAAGAGCGTAGCGGAAACGGAGCGGGACGGGAGGGTGGGATGGAAAGACGAACCACGAGCGAGTGAAGGGGTGGGAGGGAGCGTGGGAGTGTGGGAGGGAGGGAGCATGGGAGGGCGGGAGTGTGGGGGAGTTATTCGTCAAAATACGTCAAAACCCAATGGGAATAAGAACTGCCGACACCCACGGGAGGGCGGGGAAAGGAGGAGTTGACTCGTATCATGTTCGGGGCGCCCAATGAAATGCCCAAAACACTTGTTAGTGCAATATCTCCCGCTCTGGGTAAGGGGTGAGTCCCCTGCACTCCTTTCCCCACCTGAAACCGTGTCGCCCCGAGGTCGCGCAGGAAAGCATCCACGGGGTGAGCTGCTGCTGCTGTTGTTGTTGTTGGCCCTGCATGTTGGCTGCCACTGAGGCCGCCCCCACCAACCCCAGCCGCATCAGCCCCTTGGTGCTGTTGCTGTTGCTGAAACAGCTGTGTGTTTCGGCTGTTGTAGGTGACATCCCCTTCCAGCAGTTCGCCCAGTCGGGCGTGAAGTTGCCCGGGGGCCAACTGGCGGGTGGAAAACACACACGAGGGGTCACGGGAGGACAATTAACAGCTGCGGGTGGGTGAGATGTGGATGGCAGATGGGCAGGTAAGAAGGGGGAGAGGGTCGTGGGGAGAGGGAGAGGGGTGAGGGAGCGGGGAAAAAAAGGAGGTCAGGGCGGGGCGAGCTGGGCAAGAGGGAGAAGTGAGTGTGTAAGTGTGTCTGTGTGTGTTGGAGGGGACGACGAACCACGTGAACGAGTGAAGCTGATGCCAAGGAAAGACTGATGCGCCCCAGAAGTAAAGAAGGCACAACTAACCAGTCAGCGGTTGTGAAGAAGTCGTCCTCGCGATGATGTTAGTAGTGATGATGATAGCGGAAAACTACCTACCTAGCCATAAAGATTATATAAAATGCAGAAAGAGATCAGGAAAACATCCGTAATATTATAGAGGTAGGTGTAAAGGCGGCGAAGAGCAAAAAAACTGACGTGAGTAATAGAAGAGGTGACGTTCGTTAGGAATATATTTGCACGCCGGCCTGGCGGCGGAATTGAGGAACCTGGACAGAACTGGCTGATAAGCTGTGCTGGTGACATGCAAGTGCTCCGCCCAACCCCCCAACACGCGCCCGACCCGACCGATCCAACTATCCTAGTCCGGCTAGCGGGGGCCCGGGGAAAGACGGAGGTCAGGGCTTGTAAATGTTTGGGTTTAGTCATAGCTACGACAGCAGTAGCCACAAGGCAAGGCAGCACCAAAGTGTTCCTGCCGTTGTATGACGGGGTTCACCTGCCCTTGCTGTCCGCCTTCAGTTCCCTTCGTCGTGGACTTTGCTCCCCGGGCCCCACCCCCGGCCTCCTCCATGACCTACCCCTACCTTCTGTACCCTCCTCTCACCCCCTCACCCTACTCGGCGGCTAGACGCTCTTTCACAACCTAGAAGGCCACGTCGCCGCGACCACTACTACCTCCCAAATCACTACTAGTCGGTGACTTCATACGATTGTATTCTACAGCCCCTGTCTATTACTCGAGCGTCTTTGTAGCGCTGGTGTCAGCACCCCTCGTCTGTGGTTTGTCTTTCACCCCCTCACCCCACCTTCCACGGCCCGCCCTGCGTCCGCTTGTTGCGCCTCTTCAGCAGCGCAGCCAGCCGCTGCAGGGGCAGCACGAATCCGGGCCTGAAGAGAGGGAGGAGTGTGTTGATGTGGAGCAGCAGTAGAGGGACAATGGCATAGGGACCGGATGAGGTGGGGCCAGGTTGGCAGGGAACTGTTCGTCCTGTGGCAGGCCAGTGCGCCTGCAGCCGAGTAGACGGCTTTCTTTCCTCTATGGCCACCGGCCACAACAACAACTAGTTTGCTTCTCGTCTCGCCCTCGTAGACTCCTTGATCACCCGATCACCCACCCTCGCCCCCCCATCACCATCACCATCACCCCCCCCCGGACCCCACAAAAAACCCACACACACTGCGAAGCGAGTCTTACCTCATTTTGAACCCACCGCCCCTGGCGGTACTCAATGTACGAGCCACTGCACCCACAACCGCCCCCAGCGATAAGTCTTTCTGACCCAGCACCTCCATCGCCACGCTGAACCGCAGCGGTGGCGTGTTCAACACCTCCAGAAGCGACGTCGGCGGCTTTCCCATATCGCGCCCGCCCAAACACAGCAGCGAAGGACGCAGGCAGTTGCCGTATGACTGTACGTCTTCATTCTCGCGTACGGCAAAGGCCCAGGGCCGCAGCTGTGCGGCGACGGCCAAGGAGGGGTTACCGGCGACTGGGGCTGGGGCAGCTGGGCCGGCGATGCTACTGCTGCGCCTCTGGGCCATCCCGCCAGGGGTGCTGCTGGGACCCGGGGCAGCGGCGGGGGCAGCGGCGGCGCTGCCGCCCTTGAGAGCCGCCGCCGCCGCCGCTGCCGCAGCCGCGTCTGGGAACTCCAGGAACTGTACAGCGATGGGGATGAAGGTGACGCCACCCGTCGGACACATGCGTGCATGTGCGTCTGTTTCTGTGGTGTCTACATCTATATGCGTGTGTTTCATGTACGGTGTGTACGTGTATGTGTATGTGTGTGACGTAACCCGCTGTAACGACCTCTCAGCCATGTTTACCCCTGCCTAGGCACCCCCCCTGTCTCCCATTCCCGAATCTAGGACCTCCAGGGGATCAAATCCACCTTCACTCGCTCTGGCAGCTGCTGAACCCACGTTTTTGCATCTTCGCACACACCGGCCCCCCCCATCCCACCACCCTACCTGCGGCGACAGCACCCAGTCCGCGATAGCCAGCAACGCATGCGACAGCGTCTGCAGCGCCGCACCCGGAACTGCAAAGTTCAGGTTCCGGAGCCGTTCCACCTCCGCAGCCGGCAACTCAGCACTAAACCGCTCTGCGGCCGCGGCGGCGCTTTTCGCGCTATTTAACAGATGTGATGGACTGGGCCTCGCAGCTGGTGCTGCTGCTGCCGCCTCAGGTGGGACGGTAACAGCAGGAGCGCTACCGCCCGCTCCGTCATTAGCCGCCGTCGCTGCTGCTGTGGTAGGTTCGACGGCTCGTACGGCAGCCGCCACGTCGCCACTGGCGGAGGCGGCCGCCGAGGGCAAGGTGAGGAGGTAGTTCTGATGCCGCGGTGGAGGGGGACAGAATAAGAGAAAACGCTGAGTCAGGCGGAGGGAGAGTAGAGGAAGGGGGAGGAAGGAGCGCAGGACAGGACAGGGCAGGACAGACTGTCAGCCGCCTCCAGCAACACAGTTCTCGTTCTGTTCGCATGGCTACCAGCTCTCGAACCGCCCTACGTTACCGCCCGGCTGTGTTTTCTAATGCCGACACCTCCCCTCCCCTTCCCCTTCTCCCCCCCATAACAAGCACTCCTCCGTTGCCGCCTCCTCGCGGTCTTCTGCCTTGAACTTCTTCTGTCCTCTTTCTCCATTCTTTCACACAACACAGCAAGCACATCCAGATTTATGATCTCTTCTCCCATGACCCAAAGAGGACCGTCTAACCCCAAAGAGAAATCCCGCGGAGATGATACGAACCGTTCTCCTGACGGGCTTGATATCGCCACACCGCATCGCACCTACCGTGGCCCCATCCCACCCTTCCACCCCCACACCGCCCAGGGACTGAAGCGACTGAAACCCTTTCCCCCACCCGGGTCAGGTCCCATTTGGTCTCCGGGGGCCTGGTAAGACACCTCCCGAGTCCCCAGCCCCCATCCGCCACTGCCCCTAGGGCCGCTCGCGCAGCCTACCCTACCCGCGTGTACGTGACGTCCACACGCGCCGCGTACAATGTTTTGCCCTTCACCGGACTGCTGCGAGCTTCAAAGTACTCCTGCAGCAACACGCCACCGCTGCAGGAATCAGCCACACGCTGCTGCTGATGATAATGATCCCGTGCTGCCGCTGTAATGGCCCCGGCGCTGCCGCTGGCAGTAGCTGCAACTGCAGCTCTCTCGCCGTCGGGGCCTACCTCCCCCCCGGCTGCAGCACCCACGGGGCCCGTTCCGCCTCCGTCAGCTCCGTGTGTCTGGCTCCGGGACTGCGCTGCTTCTCGCTCCGGCAGCGACACTCCCGCCGCCGCCGCCGCAGCAGCAGCGTTGTCCCTACTTGCCCCCGCCTCCGTCAGGCCCCCCTTCACCCCTGGTCCTGACGCCAGCACGGCAGGACCCGGAGTGGAAGTAGTCCTACGGGTCTGAGCTCTCTCCGGCCGCGGCGGCGACTTGATAGCTTTGGAGGTGCCAACACCTCCACCAACACCAGCACCGCCGCCGCCGCCAGCGGCGGCGGTGGTGGTAGTAATGGTGGTGGTCCTGTCCTTCGCCGTGGCTGCCCGTGTGGGAGGAGGGCAGGTGGGCGGGCGGGGCCGCATGGGGACTACACCGCCGGAGGCGGTGGGGGTGGGCGGCAGGGCGGCGGCGGCGGCCACCGCCTCGGCGGCTCCAGCAGCATCAGCTGCTACTGCTGCTGCTGCTGTGGTCCCGTTGGCGTGTGCGGTCAATCCGTTTCGGCAGTCTGCACAGAGGAAGTCAAGGTTGTGCCAGAGCCGTACGAGTGCGACTGGCGGGGAGACGGATGTGTCCACGAGGCTGGTGAGGTAGACCTGAGAGAGAGGGGGAGGAGGGCATGCATGTGGGCGTGTGTGGGTGGGGGAGGAGAAGGAAACATATGCAAAAGTCAAGGAAACAACTAGGGAGCGGCGAGGCGGAGGGAAGGGGAACTAAAAGTAGGCGGGTACTGCAAAGGAAGGTTTTGCGGGCGCAAAGAAACTCGGGATTACTGTAGCAGAGTTTAGGCAAACAGATGTGAGGAGGTGCAGGAGAGTAGAGGGCGGTAGGGGAGGAAGAAGGAAGAGCCCTAATGGAAGATGGATGAGCGGATGAACGGAAATTTGATGCAAGATGCGCAAAAGAGCAAATACCCGATCGCCAAACCACCAGCGCCCAAAACCTAAAGCTAGCTGACTTGTCAGCGCGCCCGCTTTCAAGTCCTCTGTTTTCGCTGGGGTCCTCCCGAGTACAGAGATGGAGGTTGGACACAGGCTGGTAGGCGGCGCGAGAAAGGTTTGGGAAGCGTAAAGGCCGTAAGCGATGGGCCGGGAGGTTGCTGCCCGCAGGGCGTAAATGGATGACGCGCTCGTTTGTCTGCCGCGGATGGCAACATGGGCTGTCCGTCTTCGCGCTGTGCATTTTGCTGTGAGCTGCTGTGTGTTAGCTTGTGAACTTGTGAGCCCCAAGACGCTCTGCAATGCCGCTAAAGGGACCCAGGAGCAACAATATCGTATTGTGTGAAATGCCGCATAGCCCGACAAAGCGCAAAGGTGTCTGCAGGTTTAGGCGCAGAAAAAAACGTTTGTAGCAACGCGCCCGCCCTGCTGTGTCTTCACCACTCACAGGGTCATAATTATTTGTTGTCTCGCGCGTGTTGCAGTTCGTGCATTGAAGTTGAAAGCCTGCGTTAATGCCTTTGAACTGCAGGTCTAACACACGACGAATACCCCGTCTGAGGCGCGCATCTTGGTAGGTATCCCCTTTGGAATTAAACAGCTCCAACAGCCTGCGTCCCAGGAAGTGCACCGACTTTCGGGTGTCCGCAAACGATGTCCAAGTTGTCAATAGCAAGTTTAAAAGCTCTTACCCTTTTTCCGACATTCCAAGCTTATATTTGTATGCTTACTTAAACACAAGCTGTAATTACTGCCCTAACGTTTCCAGCATACCTTTGCCCTGTCGGCAGGAGTTGTGCCCTCACGGGAATACTATCCATGCCATCTGCATCATCTTTCTATTAAAGCAAATACTCAGGTATCACCTTCTGTGAGAGCTATGTGCGTCTCCCCAGCTCAGGGTCTTGGTCATTAGCTTCACTCTTTCTCAGCATGCCACCATCTGTACTCGTACAACCTCCTCCTCTGCCGACCTGCTAATTGCTCGTCAGTTTCAAGCCATATCTTTATTACTTGAGCATATTAGGTGGAACTCACGCGAAAGGCATGGGCGTATCTCGGGCACATCGTGCGACCCAAGACCACCGCACGCACAGCGTGGTAAACGCAGCAATCCTCAAAAAGCTTGCAAATCTCACACTAAACATGCTCCTTAAAATTATGTGAGAGGGAATTATAGAAGAGCTCTGAAGTCGAGGTCAGTAAAGACGAGCCGTATATGGAACACCACCGGGATACGAACCCCTGATCAGCAGCTCGACAGTAATAAATTAGAGTGCACAAGCCAAGTAAATCCGTCACCAATTGAAGTATCCAACCGTCCGAGGGCAACTCCAAGCTCCAACTCAAGTGACGGGCACGAAAGTTAGTAGCAAACTGCCAACAATCACACACACCCGGCACGGGCCAGACTAGCGAAAAAGTCTCAGCTGCGAAGGAACGCAAAAGCCGAGCCACTGCATCTGGGCACTGGGAAACTGTGTTGGTATGGGGCTTTGCGCATCGGGACCACTCCAGATGCTTGACCCCGCGTTGCCCGGCATTGCATTGGACGTGCGCACCGGCTGAATGCACCGGTGAAGGCGAGCAAAAAGCTGTGCCCGGTACATTTCTTGCGGAGTAGCATGCGGGGAGACCCATCATATACACTTGCGTTGTCTCATCTGGGTGGTAGTCTAGTTTGTATATTAGTCTCTAGTGCAGTGCACGGCCAGCTGGCCCGCTGGCCCGCTGGCTCTACTCTTCGTAAGTTTTGAGCCCACTAAAACAACCACACACATATACACACACGAGTGGGGATTTGGTCAGCAGCGGACGGCATTTCCCGAGCATCGATGGGACTTAGGTAACGATTTTTGTTGGGCGCACCACGGCCACCGACGGCCAGATTGAACCACCTCCCTCCGCACCCGTTGTCGAAAATAAGCTACCACTCTTACTGAAGAGATATGCTGCTTGAATACGATTTTTTTTACAGACGCCTCCAAAGCGCGCGACCAGCACTCATATTGCAGCAGCTTACACACTGATACCGTAGATGCCTGTAGTGCATACAAATGCCCCTTGCTTGCTACTCGGTCAAGTGACATTCTTTGGGTTATGGCGGTCAAGCCGGGTGCCATGCGCATACGTAAACGCGCACAATGATAACAGTGACTTTGGCGGGCCTGGTGATTGAAAAGTCGTACGGCAGATCCACACAAACCAATGCTGAACCTGCGTGCGCATTGAGCACCGAGATTCCGGGCACACTCGTAAGGCGGTTCATTCCTTATTAATACCCCTTGGCATTCGACATCTCCTGAACGCCGCAAAACCTGTCACGATGGTGAATTTCCACGCAGAGAGTTTTTAAATGTGCACGTGGGCCGTCAGGCCGCGTCGTACAGGCTGTAGTACGGAAAAGAGCGAACCCCAACCCACACTCCACGTGCCCGCCTGACCCCCAATTGCTCGACTTCCTCTTCCCTAACCCTCTTCCCTCATCTCTCTCTTTTTTCTCTTTCCCCGGCACATGCCCGCACTCACCCTCGCCGAAAATCACCAATTTACCAAACCATGTACGACATATGCCCAACCGCCGGCTTCCCCCCTAACCATGTCCTGTGTATGCGTGCATGTCTGGCCGCCTTTACATCCGCGCGCTAGGTCTGGCGGCCCAGATACCCATCTGTGTCCGAAACTGTTCGTGGTCTTCACCGCCATCACCCCGCACATCACTGGAAATTGGGCCTGTCCGTGAGGCCGCGCCACCGGCCCCACGAAGCCATCATCGCCATAATCATAAAACAGCGTCAAGGTAAAAATATGAACTCATTATTATTGTTTGTTATTGTTTGTTATTGATCGTTATTGGTTGTTATGAATTTACTCATACTCGTGCCGGCAGCGCCGCACCCAGCCCCACAGACATCCTCCTCCTCCTCTTCCCTCTCCCTCTCCCTCTTCCCTCTTCCCTCTCCGCACCCGACGGACTATTCCCACCGCCACGCGACGCAATGCACTGCCGCAAAGCGCGCGACAACCCACGACGTGGTGTTTCCCATACCTTTCTCTTTTGCATGGAGACTGACACACACAAGCACACACACACACACACTCCTAAAATTCTCTCACCCCGCCCCCTCCTTCCCCTCTGCCAGCCCAAACACGGCCCCTTCACCCCCAATTTCTCCGGATATACAACCCTCTTACACCGCCCACACCACAGCCCTAAACCACGTCCATATCATCCCCCTCCTCCAAACCTCCGCCCCCGCCCCCAGGCCCCATGCCCGCCACCGCGCGCTTCTTCTGCAGGCGGCTCACACTGACAGCCAGGTGCCTGGGCAGTAGCCGCCTGAGCCAGGGCGGCAGGCAGGCAGCTACAGCGCAGGCAGTAGAGGCCAGGGCCTCCGTCCCCCCGGCCAGGCAGCTCACCCCCAGCAGGATGCATAACCAGCTGGCCAGACGAACAACCTGACACAGGGTAGGAGTAATGTTGGAAGATGCGCTCGCGCGCGCGCATGTGTGTGTGTGTGTGTGTGTGTGGCGGGTTTGTGTGGGGTGTGGCGCGGGATTTGGGGGAATGCGGGGTGTGGGATGAAGGGTGAAGGTTGAGAGGTGCTCGGCCGGGCGAGGGAAGCGTAAGTGGGGGGAGAAAACCCGGGAAAACCAGACAGACAGACAGACAGACGATAAAAGGTTCAAGAGCGCCGCTTTTGACGACAGAACCTGTCCAGACCGACCCGCCTGGCCAAGTACCTAGCAGCAGCTAAAAGCACTGTGCTGCCCGTCTCCCTGCTCCCCCTCCCCCTCCGCCTGCTCCTCCTGCCCTCCCACCGCGCTGTCCTACCCCAACCCCTAACTTCTCCCCCCTCACCACCACCACCGACCGATCGAGGTCTGTGTGTTTTCCCCCCTTCCAAACCCCATTACCCCACCCAACCACCAACCAAACTCTCAACGAACCAAACAAAACACATATGCACAACTCCCCCTCTGCCTCTGGCACCCCCCGCTTCCTTCTCGCCCCCCCCCGGCCCTCCAGCTCACCTTCATTCCATGTCCCGTGGGCAGCTTCTCATCCAGTGCCACCATGCCTGCCAGCACCCCGCATATCATGGAGGAGGTCGCTGCCGCCACACACACCACCACGGTGTTCCCCGCCTTGAGCCCCCGGGTCTGAAGCAGGAAGCCGGTGCTGGTAAGGCCCACAGAGGCGGCTAGTCCGAGGGGTACCCACACAACCGATAACTTGGCAGACAGGATGAAACCTGTGTGAGGGGATCCTCAGA